TATATATATATATATATATATATTTAGTTTCAAGTTTGAATTTCATAAGCTTATGACTTAGAATTCACCTCTTTCCATATTTTTTTTCAACTTTATTACTTACTTTGTAATTACTATATTACTTTCTAACTAATTTGTTCCATACATTGCACATGTCCATGTACTAGGTTCTTTTATAGGTGGAGGTGGAGGTGGAGGTGGAGGTTGTGGTGGAGGTGGAGGTTGTGGTGGAGGTGGAGGTTGGGGTGCTGCCACTCCTTATTCGTACAGGGACCAGATTTTTGATGAAATGATAACAACTCTAAGACAACCGGATATTATCATGATTGGGTTATACGGATCAAGTTATAAGAGTAGAAACAATGCAGTGAAGAAAATCACTAGAAGAGTTGAGAGGGATGGGCAATTTGATGTGGTTATAAAGGCAAGCATGGTAAAAAAGAATCTATGGTGGAAAAAATCACTAGACATGAGAAATATTCAAGAAAAACTTGGGAACCAGTTGGGTTTACAATTCCAAGAGAAAACTCTAGAGGAAAAAGCTAGTTGTTTGTCTGATAAAATAAAGATGAAACAAAAAATCCTTATCATCTTAGAGGATCTGCAAGGTGAAATCAACTTGACCAAGATAGGAATACCATTTGGAAATGATCACAAGGGTTGTAGAATTTTATTTGTAGCCAATAATAAGAAGGTGTTGTCCAACACAATGAAAATTCCAATAGTATTCTCTATGGATGACTATAGTTCACGTTTTTAAGTTCAAACTTATAAAATAATTTTATGAATTTTATTGTCACTTTATGTTTTTATATAGAGAAGTTTGTTTGGTTAATCACTTTACATAAATAAATTAAATCTTTTTTGTTAGCTTTTTTTTGTTAAAATTATTTCAATTAAGTGATGAATTCTATGGTATTCTTGGTTTACAAATTGGCTTGATGAATTATTATTTAAATTATGTTTGTTTTTTTTTTTAATTATTTCAATGACTTTAATATCCTTGATAAAAGTAAAGAGAATGGTCACATGATAGTGAATGTTGAAGAAATGAAAATCAAACACTTTAGACGTATTTGTACTATCATCCAGATTCATTCAACATCAAAATTATGTGAAAGAGAAATTATGTTATTCGTGCTTTGAAATTTGGAAACTGAGTAAAGCAAATACGCACTTGGGTGACAATTTTAAGAAGCGCATAACTTGTAAAAATTTATAAGCATATAATACGTAATTCATCGATTTTGATTGTAAGCATTGTAAAATTTTGTTAGTAACTGAGAATCAAGATGTGTTGTCAAACCAAATGATAACCCTAAAAGTATTTTTGTGGATCACAATAGTTGAAGTCTTAAGTTTAAACTGGTGGAATAATGTTACAGATTTTATTGTGACTTTATCTGGTTATTTAGTTTAAAATTGATTTTTTTAACCTTTTATTATAATTATTTTATTCATTATAAATATTTAATAAAAGTGTTAAATTAGCAATTTATCTCATCCAAATTAGTTCACCATGGATTGGTATTTTAAATGGGTCAATCTAACTCAATTTACTTTCTGAAAAGTTAGAAAAATTTCAATCTGACTTGACTAAGCTGATTGACCATTGTAGTGTTGTTTTAAAAATATTTTACGCAAATGGGGCTATTTTATAACTAATTACACCTTTGGGGCTGTTTACAACGGTGTCGCTATAGCCCATAACGACACCTATGACACGTGACATTTTTTTTGTTACGGGATTGGACTGGAATGAGCCACATTAAAGTCGCTATAGGCTGGGCCACCATAATTGATGGACTAACAAAAATAATATAACTCATAGTGACACTATGTAAGAAAAAAAATGAAAATAATAAAAATATAAAATAAAAAATTGAATTATTTATTATATATTTGTAAAAATAAAATTATTTTTTAAATATGTATTTTAAAATTAAATTATAAAATTTTTTAAGAGGCGTTATGGGCCATAGCGACTTGGTATCGCTATGGACCATAGCGACAGACTTTTTGTATTTTTTTTTTCAAATATTTACGTTTTATTTTTAAATTTTCATTTTTATATTTTTAATTAAAATCACACAAATTAAAAATTAAATTAAATTTATATATTTATATGTTAATTTTAAAAAAAACTGAAGAAATAATAAGTAATTAAAATAAAAGAAAAAAGATGCAAAAATGGGTGTCGCGGGTGGCGACACCTTTTTTGTTTAATATAAATAAATTTAAATTTTTAGTAATTTGTTTTTAAATTTAATTAAAAATAATTAATTATGTAGTTTCAAGAAAATTTATTTTTTAAGTTATTAATAATTTTTTTATATGAATTTTAAGAAAATTGGGCCAAAAATAAGTAATTAAAAAAAAAATGAGTGTCGTTATGAACAGCGACACCTTTTATATATATTTTCTTTTTACAAATATTTACGTTTTATTTTAAAATTTTCGTTTTTATATTTTTAATTAAAATTACACAAATTAAAAAATTAAATTAAATTTATATCTTTATATGTTAATTTTTAAAAAGTTGGGGAAAAAATAAGTAATTAATTTATATTATCAATTTCATATAAATTTATATTTATAAATTTATTATTTATGTAATTTCTTTATTTTATACATATTTTTTTTCCCTTTTTATCTATTTAAATATTTATAAAAATGGCGCTATGGATGTCAATATAAGCCACAGCACCACTCTTTTTAATGTTTTTTTATTTAAAATTATTAACTTAATTTTTTTTCAAATTTTATTTTTTATTTTCAATTTCATATAACAAAATATTTATAAATGTATATTTTCTGTAATTTCTTAATTTTCAATGTATTTTATTTTATATTAAAAATGAGGCGTTATAGGCTATAACGACTTCATTGAAGTCATTTATTGTCGTCATGGGTTATAACGACATTGTAAATATGGCTTTCATGACTTTTCTGAAGTGAAAAAAATCCACGTGTTACCGGTGTCGCTATGGCCCATAGCGACACTGTTTAAAAGTGTTCCAAAGGTGTACATTGTTTAAAAACAGCCCTATTTACGTAAATAATTTGGAGAAATACCCCAATATGGTCAATCAGCCACTTGACTAATTATGGATTAGAAGATTAGGTGAATTGTCTCATCATATTTTTTAACATAAAATCTACCTATTGGTGTCTCTATTAGTGAAAATATCACATTTAATATGGTTGATATTGCATAACTGTCTTAATTAGTCACTTTCAAATATTTTATTGATGACTTAAGGGATTAAAATATAATTTTTAAAAATTACAGGGACTAAAAACAACAGTTTTAAATTTGAGGGACCAAAAATAAATTTGCCTTAAATTTGAGGGACCAAAAACAAATTTGCCTTAAATTTGAGGGACTAAAAACATATTTAAGGATTTAAGTGTGATACACAAGAAACAATGTAATTCAATTTATATTAGTTATCAAAAAAAAATTCTAAAGAAAACGAGAAAAATGAAATTGAAGCACAAAATGATATAGGTAGTACTCAAATTCGAGATTACTAATAAAAAATTCTATGGCAATTGATTCAAGGCTCGATGAATAATAATTAAGTAATATTGGTCTATAATTAATATTTCATTTAAAATTAAATAAAAAATATCGATGTGACAATTAGAGTTAGTAATGTAAAAAAATAATATTATTAAAAGTTAAAGTTAAAATTATTTTAATTAATTATAAATTTTAAATGAGATTAAATTGAAACTTGACATATTTTAGGTAAAAATAATATTGTTTCTTACATAAAATTGAGGATGACAATAAGATAGGGTGAATGAGAGTTTCAATATTTTTGTTCTTCTCTCTGCGTTCGTACCTTATATTCATTATCCTTTCCATATCTGAAGAATATGAGATTTGTATCTCATTTTTATCCTTGTTAAGTATACTCGTAACTATTTTATACTTGTTTAGAAATTAATTAAATTTTTTTTACAAGAAAAAAAAATAATTCCAATATAGAGTAGCAATTACAAAATTTTATTAATTAAATTTTATTTAACATAAATTTAAAATAGAGTAAGAAATACATAAATCTCAAGTAAATTCTAAATAAAGTAAATTGAGTTTATAGAAATTTAAAGGGGATGGAAACGCGAACGATTACGAGTACAAGACAAGTAAATATATATATATATTAATCCCCATCCACATTTTCGATTTAATAAGTCGATTATTACTTGTACTCGTGTTTGGTCAAACTAGATATTTCTATCAAAGTAGAAACAAGTTTTAACATTACTCATAGATACGAGTTTATTTGTTATCTTTGGTCTAAATATATATTTAAAAAGAGTTAATAAAGAGTAAAAATATAATTATCTAAATAAATTATTTTTACATAAAAATCTAATTATATAGAATATTTCTCTCATAATTTCATTCAACCAAAATTCAAGATCGAAGAGTTGACCATAATACAGACGAAACGGTTTTAAAAAATAAAGAATGACAGTTATAAGGAGACTTAAGTATTAAAAAAATAGTTAAAGCTTATTTAACAATGATGCAAGAAAAACAATGTAAGTTAATTTATTTTAGTTATTAAGAAAGAAGTGAAATTGAAGTGCAAAATTGTATAGGTAGTATTCATAGTCGAGATTACTATGGCGTAAAAAAAAAATCGATATCACTAAAACATTTATCTTTTTTGAGAGAAAAATTGAAAACATTCTACGTGAATTGATTTTCACGCTCAATCGTGAACGAAAATTAACTCAACAGATAACTTGAAAGAAAAAGAAGAAAAAAAAAGATTTTTTTAGGGGTTTTCAAAAATTGATATGGGATAATGTAAATTATGAACATTGAATAAAGAAATTAAAAGGAATAAATTAAATTATAAATTTTGAAATAATGTAATATAGCACGTTCTGTTTATGACTCGAGAACCCATGTTGTCATATTGCACAAATTTAATAAACTAAAAAAATCACATAACCTGATTATTAATAGTTTAATGAAAAATATGATTCGATAAGTTGCATTTAAAATTCGTTTAAATCCATTTTTAATTTATACTAATACATAAATGGGATATTTTTTTTAATAATTATCTTATAAAAATGTATCCTTTCATTTAAAAAAAATATTTTTTTTAATCAAAATCAAAACTTTGAAATTAATGTATTAATCATAATATTATATCGACATACATTTATTACTTTTTTTTATTATTTTATTTTTAATAGAAACATGAAGTACCTCAATCTTATAATTTTTATAATTTTAATATTTTCAAATTTTTTATTATAAATTTATTCTAATTAATTTTTAAAATTAAACAACTTTAATTTATCATTAACAAATCATTTAAAATTAAATAAAAAATATCGATATATCCATAAGTAACACAATATGAGAGAGTTAGTTAACAATGTAGGAAAATAATAATACTAAAAATTAAAATTATTTTAATAGATTATAAATTTTAAATGAGATTAAAAAGAAATGTAACATATCTATAGTAAAAATAATATTGTTTCTTGTATAAAAGTTAACACAATTAAATAACTTTATTTTTTAAGTACCTGATCATGCACTGTATTCCTGACTAAATTTTTTGTGAGAGATCAACTCCATAAATAAATATTTGTAACATACATTATGTTAAAATATTGATGTTTCTTTATATTTATACTAAATTTTATGGTTGATTGTGTTGGGATGGTGTCTAGACTTTTACTATAAATTGATGTGGTTGGTCAAAAAGATTTCTTCACCCCAACTAAGGAAATCATAAGGTTTCA